GTTCAGCATTCTCAAACTGAAGGGTGGCTGACTGGAGTGCAGTTGGTAATTCTCAACTCTCTTCATGCGATTTTTTTCCATCTTAGTGCAGAGTGAGGCTAACAGCACTCCCCACATCACAGGGCTGCATTGCTTAATGTTAGTCAACATATGCTAAAGAAGATATGCACAGGATGCAATTATAATGCACTGATTACACATGGGTCAAGACTTTCATATCTGTATTTCAAAGTTGCCGTACCTTGTATAAAGTACAGTGCAAGTGTGCTGTCTTTTTCAGGGAAATGTGTTACAGACAGATACATGTAAGGGCAAGTTAATAGGGTGAAGATAGATTAATTGTAAGAAGTGGCTACAGTCACACTATTTATTTGAAAGGTTAATAAGTATTTGAACTCCCTTTCTGAAGTGTTCAGTACTTAGAAGTTACGATTAGGGAATGTCTGTAATGTACCTCAACTTTTGAACTGCTGCAGTACATGGGTTGAAGAATTTTTATTTTCTCCATACAATGCATGAGAGAAGTCATTAAATTGAAAATGTTACTGAAATGTCAGCCACAGATTATTTTCTTTTCTAATGTGCAAGAAGCATATAAAGTATTTTTCATAATGTACTGAATTTTACAAAATTCTCAATAATGATGATACCGAGGTTTATGTCTTACTGTATCACCAGCTTTTTACTGTTTTCCTAGATAACTATTTCTCACTTATTATTTCAAGGTATGTTTTGTAGTTCCTGTGGTTCAGAAAGCAGGAACAATATGGCTGACTAAATTGTTCTTACATGCTGAAAACACTTTAAAATTGGACGTGCAGCTTAAGAGCTGTGACTGTTGACACCTTGTGGAAATCTTTTCCAAATTTTATGCATTGGCAAGAACACTCCCAGTGTTGGCGGGGGGGTGGGAAAGAGAAACTATTAATCAAAATCTTCCTACATTATTACAGATGTATTTCTACTGTTTTGCAAGCTGCAGTGCTGATAGACACTGCATATTTGCCACTGCTAGGGGTTTGGGTGTTTTTCTAATTTAATAGTAAAATTTTAAAGAATTCACCACGGTATAACAAATACATACGTTATGGAACTTCTAAACATGCCCACTTCTAATGTTGCTTCTGCACTGATTAGTTGAGCATAGTTTTAGTGACAGCTAAACATTTTAAATAGGAGTAATATGTGAAATTGGTTGACTTTAAGTAGCAACAAAAGTAAAATTTGGGGTTATAACTGTTGAGTGGGGTTGGTGGTGGTTTGTTGGGGTTTATTGTTTGGTTTTTAATTTGGTGTTTGTTGTTTTGTGTTTTTTTAATCACAAAGCTACTCAACACTTTTTTGAGCCAGACAGTTTACAAATGAAGAGGGAAGAAAGCAATGTTAGATTTAACACTTACATGAGCTGGTATTCATCTAGATAAACTCTATAGCTAAGTCATTATACCCTAAAAATAGCTGACTTATGTTGACTGATCTTGAACTGTATTTTTCATTCATTAGTGTCATTCATTACACACTCAAGAACTTCTAGTAATGCAAAGTTATAATCAGTAAAATATGTTTTAAAATAAACTAATATGTTTCAGAAATAAACTGAAGAACTTAGTAAGAACTGTGAATCCATTGTGTTCCAGTTAGTGTTTCCTGATCTATATGGTATTGACTCATCTTTCTTTTTCTTCCTCTCAGTTGAAATAATTTTGGCTATTACCAGTGTTTGTACAGTTAATAATTCTTGACTTATTCAAAGATTATAAACTTGAATATTCAAGTAAAATAATGTATCATTATCACACTGCATGTTGTAATGTAAAATCAAAATACAAGTTTTCCATGTCTGTCTAGCACACCAACAACTGATTTTAGAAAATGTCATTATTCATTTATTTCTCAAATGCACAAAATAAAATTCTTTTAATTCAGACAGAGTTAATCTTTTCATGTGGTTATTTGGAAAAGAGCCAGGTGTTAGCAGTGCTGCAGCTTGTTCATTTGTTGGCAATTTTACAAACATTGGAGAGATCATGAACTTCTCAGGTCCAATATTAGTAACAAAGCGCAAACAACAATAATCAACACCATTTGGGTTTGAGTGGGATTGGGCTAGGAGGGTTCTGTATATAAATGCAGATGTTAGAAGAGCTTCTCCTTCTCTGGTGATGTTCAAATCCTGCCTGAATGTGTTCCTGTGTGACCTGGTCAGGGTGATCCTGCTCTGGCAGGGGTGTTGGACTGGATGAGCTTTTGACGTCCCTTCCAACTCCTAATATTCTGTGATTCTTTGACTGCAGGTAGCAATTTGGGAAGCATCTTTAGTCAGGAAATCTGAGATCTGCCCATGTTGCCTTGTCACTCTAGAGGCAGCCAATCTCAACACCTGAGGAAAGGCTTCCTCTTTCCAGGTGGCTGCTGGTCGGGGCGAGGGCCAAGCCGCCTGCCCTGCAGCCTGAGGGGCCGGTGAGGGAAACGCCCCCCTGACAGCTGAGCTCCGCTTCCCTGCGGAGGCGATGCAGGCTGCCTGGGTCCGGACCGCTTCCTCCGCGGCGGGCGTTATCGCCGTCTGTGTGCGGCGAGTCCTGCGTGTGGCCGCGCTCTTCGCCCGCGGGCCTGGCCGCTGCGGGCCGCCGGCGCCTTCGGCGGGACAGAGGGCGGGAAGCGGCACAGGGCCGCTGGCGCCGTGCGGAGGAGCTCAAGTGCAGGATGATCAGGTTGGTAAAAATGCAATTAACTGTAACCGTGTACTCAAACTAGCCTGTAATTGCGTCTGGTATTTACTATGGCTGCTGCGTAGTGTGCATTAGATTGCTTGAGGAGGTTATTTGTGTGCCCTTCCTAAGTGAATGTCCCTTTGTGGGCACAGTCCGTGTATCTTGCCCTCAGCCTCAGGGCAGCACAACGCCTCATAATTTGGGAGTAACAACTGGCAAAACACAACTTTGCCAGTGTGTAAATGAGACATCACTAGGGGAAATCTCATAAAACTGCATGAGGAGGAGTAACAAGTGTGTTGTTATAGGTGAGCTCCACCTCTGTCAGGGAAATAGGTGAAAAACAGGTGCCCTGATGGAGAGAAAACCTTCTTTTAAAAATATGTTTCTGAACAGTAAGAAAGAAAATGGATTTGCCTATGAGTATTTGGTTTGTTGTGCAAACTTTGGAGTTTATGCACCTGCCCTTTTAATGTAGCAGCGTGAGGGAGACCTCAACCCTAAGAGTTATTCACAGTCTGAGAGATTTAACTTGTGCTTGGTGTTTCACAGAAGGAGCTTACTAAATTAAAGCAGAGGCTTCCTAGTTCAGAGTTTTGCATAAAAGTGCAGCTGGTCAAGTGGAGCAGTTTTCTTTTAAAATGGAGAAAGGGAATGTTGCTTTCAGAGCATGAGCAGTGTGTACCACTTTTTGTTACTTGTTTTAGTGATCACTAAAACATGAGGACATAGACCTGTTAGAGGAGACCAGAGGAGGGCCACAGAGATGATCAGAGGGCTGGAACACCTCTATGAAGACAGACTGAGAGGGCTGGGGCTGTTCAGCCTGGAGAGGAGAAGGCTGTGGGGAGACCTTATAGCGACCTTCCAGGACCTGAGGGGGGCCTACAAGAAAGGAGTCCCTGGAAAAGGACTCTTTATCGAGGAGCACAGTGACAGAATGAAGGGTAACAGTTTTTTAAACTGGAAGAGGGTAGATTTAGACTAGACATTAGGAAGAAATTCTTTACAGTGAGGGTGGTGAGACACTGGCACAGGTTGCCCAGGGAAGCTGTGGATGCCCCCCTCCCTGGAAGTCTTCAAGGCCAGGTTGGACAGGGCTTTGAGCAACCTGGGCTGGTGAGAGATGTCTCTGCCCATGGCAGCAGAGTTGGAATCAGATGATCTTTAAGGTCCCTTCCGACCCAACCCGTTCTGTGACTCTATGACTCTGTGATCATGGACTGTATTTGTTTACCTCAAGTCATGTAAACTTACATGATTTGTGAGACCGGGAGAACTTCCCTTCTCTGTGTCCA